GAAGGAAGGAAGGAAGGAAGGAAGGAAGGAAGGAAGGAAGGAAGGAAATTGAATCCTGGTCCTCTGGAAGAGCAGTTCTTTACCACTGAGCTCTCTCTGCAGGCCCATCAACTTTAACATTTTTTTTAAATCATAAAAGCAGGTTTTCTGAATATAGCTCTTTGGCAGGTTTACTGGTCCCAAGGAATAAGGGCAGGGAAGTTGCCATGCAAAGGGAGACCAGAGAGGAAGGGGAAAAGAAAGAGAAAGAACATATGCTTGCAGAAAGAAAGAAAATGCAGAGAGAGTAACATTTTTTAAATTGCCATAGAAAGTACTATTATTAGATCACTTTGAGATAAATGTAGTGACAAAAGAAAACAAACATTCATGATTTGCCAACTTCAGTTTTGGGTTGTCCCCCCCCCCCCCCAAAGAAAGTATCATAAAGAGACAGCAATGAGCAGGACAAGTACCTTCAACCACCTAAAAGTCCCTTTGGCACCCCACCCAACAACACAACCCTTTTTACCTATTCCCTATCCACAGAACCAGTCCATGCCATATCCAACCTTTCCACCCATCTGGAGCAACCTCCACACTCCAGGCTTAGACCAGGAAGCACATCCTGTATACCAGACCCATCCCTTCTTGTCTGCTTGACTCCATTCTATCCAAACCATTTCCAAAATCAAGGCTGAACCTGCCACCACATCCTCTCTTTTACCTAAACCTACTCTATCCATATCAAACTTAGAATTAAGAAAAGAAGTCCACATGAACAAATCTCACTGCAAAATTTCCATAATATGAAGATCAAGCCAGTATCTTCTCTCTAAAACCTACCAGTCCTGTATAATTGTTTGTCAATACAAATTACCTAGATAAACCCAAGGATACAGAATTTAAAAGAACAATCACAAAATTCATCAAAGATTTCAAGATTTAAAGAAGACACAAAGAAATAGCTCAATAAAATTAAGGAGAAAGAGATTAAAAAGTAAGCGCCTTAGTGATGCCCAAGAAACACAAACAAAGTTGACAAAAATGATGAAGACAATCCAGGACTTAATAGAATAGAATTTAAAAAGAAAATAGAATCTTTGAAGAAGACTCAAGCTGAAATGAAAATGGAACTGAAAAACCCAACAGCCCAGCTAAAAAAAACTCACAGGAAAGTCAGACCAAATAAGCAAAAAGTATAGAGTTTGTTTTAAATACTGGGAAGGAACATACCAGAGAGGTGGAACACCATGAAACAAACCAAATCTACAAATTATAAGCATAGATGAGAGAGGACTCCCAAGTCAAAGGCATAAATCTGATCTTCAACAAAAATCACAGAAGAAAACTTCCTCAAACTAAGGAAAAATACCCACATACAGATACAAGTGCACAGAATACCAAATAGACAGGACGTGAAAAGAAAATTAGTTAAAAGAGATAATACATAAAAAAAGAAAGTATATCGAAAGCTGAATGAAAAAAAAATGCAAGTCACATATTAAGGAAAATCTATCAGAATAACAGCTCAACGGAAACTTCGAAAGCCAGAAAACTCAGAAGCAATGCATTCCCAGTCTTAAAAAATTATGCCTGTCTACTTATTGCCACACTGATCATGGACTCCCTCTAAAACTGTAAGCAAGCCCCCAGTTAAATGCTTTCTTCTATAAGTTGCCTTTGTCTTAGTGTCTCCTCACAGCAATAGAAAAGTAGCTGCGATACTATATTTCGGGCTGAAAAAAAAAAATGAGCATAGCAGAGAGACTATAGAAAGAAATACAAAGTCATAATCACCAAATAACATAATATTGAACACAACAACACCAAAAATCAACACAGCAACCACAATTAGCACACCCATGTTAATACTAATGTTAAATATCATGGCCTTAATTTGCTTATCAAAAGACACAAGCTGCCTGAATAGACCAAGAAAAAAAATTCATCTTATCTACAGTAATCCTATCTTAGCTTTAAAAATAACCACTGCCTTAGAATAAAAGATGGACAAAATGGGACCAGGCAACAAGTAAGTGTCACTATTCTAATAGCTAACAAATTAGACTTCAAAAATTAAAGCTAATCATAAGATATAAAGAAGGACAGTACATTCTAAACAAGGAAACAGTTAACCAAAAATGCATTACTATCCTAAACACATATACACCAAACTGTGGGGAACCCATCTGCATTAAAATATATACAACTATATTTAAAAACAGATTAACACCACGCCATTAATAGTAGGTGATTTCAATACCCCACTTTCTTCAATAGACAGGTCATCTGGATAAAAAAACAGAGGAACATCAGAATCAATTGACATCATACATCAAATGGACTTAAGTGATGTCTAACCAATATATTCCACCCAAACATCAAACAATACACATTCTACTCATCAGCACATGGAAGCTTTTCTAAAATAGACCACATCCTGGAACACAAAACAAATCTTCACAAATTCAAAAAGATTGAAATCACTCCCCTGCCCACAATGCAATAAAACTTAAAAATTGACATCAAACAAATTTCTGGTAAATACACATTCAGGGAGATTAAACAATTCACTACTGAATGATAAATGGGTCAAGGATGAAATCAAGAAAGAAATAAAAATTTCCAGGAACTAAATGAAAACTACACAGTAAAACTTCAGGGACACACTGAAAGCAGTCCAAAAATAAATAAATAAATAAATGAAGCTACTCTAAAATTCATATGAAACCACAAAGAGCCAATATAGCCAAAACAACCCTGAGCAGAAAACAAAACATTTCAGATCTTAAGATACATTACAGAGCCACAGTAATAGAAACACTACGGTACTGACAAAAAAACAGGCTTATAGATAAATAGGGAAAAAATTGAAGATCCAAACTTGAGGACCTACAACTTCAGGTACTTTATTTGACAACGGTGCCAAAACATAACCTGGACAACAGAAAACATCATCAACAAATGGTGCTGGGAGAACTCAATGTCTACATACAGAAGGATTAAATTAGACCTGTATCTATTTCCCTGCACAAAAAAGAAAAAAAAAAAAAAAACTCCAATGGATCAAGGACCTAAATGTAAAACCTGAAACGCTGAAATTTCTAGAATTTCTTCTAGGCAGTACCCTATACAATACAGGTGTAGCAAAGGACTTCCTAAATAGGACTCCATTTGCCCCAGAATTAAGCCCAACAATTAACAAGTGGGACTTGATGAAATTAAAAATGTTCTGCACAGCTAAACAATTAGGTAAAGAGAAAGCCCACAGAATTGAAGAGAATCTTTGCCAGGTGTATATCTGACAGAAGATGTATAGCTGGCAAAAAAAAAATAAATTTTCTTTTTTTTAAAATGACCCATTTGAAAAATGGGCCTGGAACCTGAGCAGAAAGTTCTCCAAAGAAAGAAGGGGAGGGAGGGAACAGGTCTCAAAAATGCTCGTATCTCACTGTCCCTAGCTATGAGGGAAATGCAAATCAAAATAACTTTGAGATTTTATCTTACCCCAGTCAGAATGGCAGATACAACAAAACAACCTACAACAAATATTGGAGGGGATGTGGAAAAGGAAACCCTCATTCACTATTAGTGGAACTGCAAACTGGTACAGCAAATATGAAAATTAGAGTGGAACATTCTCAAAAAGTTAAAAATAAATCTACCATACATTCTTTTGTTGTTGTTTTAGGATTTATGGATCTCCTGGAAATAGAGTTACAGACAGTTGTGAACTGTCAAGTGGATACTAGGAATTGAACCCAGGTCCTTCAGAGGAACATCCAATGCTCTTAACCTCTGGGCCATTTCTCCAAACCCAACCCTGCTCAGATGTGACTGATTGGATGCTCAGTCTCCATGTGTATCTCTGAGTGAGGGGAGCAGCAGGGGCTGCCTCTATCATGAACTCAGTTTACTGCTCTCTGATCACTTGCCCCTGGTGATGCAGCCTTGCCAGGCCACAGAGGAAGAGGACCCAAGTAGTCCTGATGATACTTAACAAGCTATGAGCCGATGGCAATAGTGGAGAACTCCCCCTTTCAGTGGAATAGGGAAAGAGGAAGAGGAAGAGAGAGTGGGACTGGGAGAATTGAGAGATGGACTTCAATCGGGATATATAATGAATAAATTGTGAAGAGAAAAATAAAAATTAAAAAAAAATAAGTCTACCACATGACCAAGTTGTACCATTCCTTGGTATATATAACCAAAGGATTCAATATCATTCTCCACAGACACATGGCTGGCCAGTCATGTTCACTGTTGCTCTATTCACAATAGCTAAGAAACAGAAACAACCTAAATGCCCTACAACTGATGAAGAGATAATGAAATATGGTACACAAATGAATACTATAGACACAATGGAATACTATTCAGCTGTTAAAAAAAATGAAATCATTTAAAAGAAAAAGTGGGGAAGAGTCTTGAACTCATTGGCACAGGAAACAACTTCCTGAACAGAACACCAACAGCACAGGCTCTAAGATCAATAATCAATATACAGGACCTCATGAAACTGAAAAGCTTCTGTAAAGCAAAAG